ATTACAACTTTTTCTTGGAAATCAAAGAGTATACAATTTTTATTGTGGGCGTTTTCGCGAAAATACTTCTTTTTTCCACCGATTTGCTAACCTTGAAGCTCTAGCTAGTGTTTTTTTTTAATATATTGCGGTACATGTGTAGGTTTATAAATTTATATTTGTATAAATATGTATGTGCTTGAAATAAAGGAATTTCTAATATTATATATAAGTACCTTGTAGTGCCAAAATTTTATTCATTTGCGAGAAATGTAAAAGTACAGCTATGTGAAAAATGGAATTTAGTATGACATAATCTAATACTTTATTACTTAATTATGTCTATGAACAATATTTAAACTGATTAATAACAGATGTCTTGAGGAAATATCTCACCATGAGTTTTAATACTTGACAGAAGGTGTGCCCCTTAAAGATTTCTTGAAATATGCCCACTAGTGACAAGTTATCTGTGTATAGGATTTTTCCTGAATATGGCGGTGCCACGCCAATTGTCTATTTTTTATATCACTTATGAATCCCTTTTCTACCACCTTATTTGTGAAATTTAATGCTTCCGACGTGTTAATTTGGTGAGTTATCGCACTTTAAGAAGTTTTCAACATTACCGTTATACTCGTATAGAGAGTTAGCGTGGTTATAATCCGATTTCACTCGTTTTCACACTGTTCAAGAAAGTGTCCAAAAAATTTTCCAGAGCAATTTTGGTAAATAACTTTACAAATTTGTGTGATATGTACATACCTTAAACTAATTAAGTGACGGGATCATGCCATCCTTTTAAACATTTTCAGCCCGCAGGAGCCCCTCCCTACTGCCATCCAGTGGTTTCAATCACAGTTTTATATCGTAATTTGAAACCTCGTTATATCACTTTGTTGTTTAATGTAACTTGTGGGCAGGGCAAAGGTCCGATTACGCTCTTCTGTAATACCAACCTCCCTTGGGCGTCAAGTAAAATATATATAGCATCTTCCATGAAGATAAACTAATCCAGATAGATATAGAGTTACTATATAAATGAAAATAATCTGGATAATTCCGAAAGTCTTTGTATAAGTGTTTCCTGACACTCTGAGAAAGTTGGTACTGCAGGTGGGGAAAAAGGTATAGATAGGATACATAGATGCTAGAAAAATAAAAATATAGGGGAAGATTCCATAATTTACATCAAAATTCATATGAATTTTACATCGTAGAAATATGCAATTATTTCTAAAAAAGATAAGAAAAGTGAGCTATGCAATGTAAAAATAATTTAAAAGCTTTCGACAAAAAATATGTTGCCTTTTATCCAGATGATATTCAAGAAAAATTTAAACACCAATATATATGTGTGTAACATACATACGTTCAAGGAAAAAAGTCTACATGTACCCTTCGATTTTGGGAATTTAGCAAACCTGTTACGAAAATAAAAAAAGTCCTTATGACAATAATTAAGACATTTACATTAGCAAAAACAAAAATAACCAATAGCAAATCACTAATAAAAAGTCTTCATACAATTGGAAAATTTCTTTGCAAAAAGTTTTCTTTTAATCCTAGTATTTGGTTGGTCCAACTTGGCCATCAATCACTGCTTGTAGACGTCGGGGCATTGAATTCACCAAATTTTCAGTTACATCAGGAGAAATTTCGGCCCAGGCTCGGGTAACGGCAGTTTTTAGGGTTTCAGGGATGCTGATGTCATGGAGATTACGTCTTGCCAAGAAAGCTTTCTAGGTCGGCCGGATCGTGGCATATTTTCGGTACTTTTTGTATTATTGTAGTTTTTAATAATACTTTGTACTGTAAATCTTACAGTTTTATCAATTTCCCCATGCGATTTATTTTCATTTCGGAGATTACCTACCATATTTTGAACGGAAATAAGTATTTCTTTATGATTTGCCATTTTAAATAATAAAATTTTAAATTTGAAACTTGTAAAATTGTGCTCTTTAATAACTAAAATACTCGGAATAAACAAATAAAGAAAATACCCTAGGAATTCCCCTTTTTTATTTTCACTTTTAAGTTTAATGTCGGGAATTGCAGCGTGTATGTCCACTAATTATTATGTTTTCCCACAGCAATTGTGAGAGTTGTTTAAAAAAAGAAAAAAGTTCCCACTTATATTCTTATTTTATACAATAATAGAGTAAATATTGACTTGAGGATTTTTCTGATTTTCGGAAAAGATTTTCCGAAATCGCGAAATCGAAGGATGTATGTAGACTTTTTTCCTTGACTGTATGTATGTATATATGCTGGTTTATAAAGTTATTTCGAATTGTTTACGTTGCCTAATCGCATAAAAATGTGAACTCCTATATATAAGCTTAAGCAAGTGCAATTAGCCATAAATGGAAAAAGGTTACAACTTCATAAAGCAGACGAGATTAAATTGAATTGGTGACTTATAAAAGCAACAACAGCAAACGAATTGATCGCTCACCGAAAAAGGTAAAGCAAATGTTCGCGTAATTATATAATAAAGTGCATTCCATAAAATGCTGTACTCACGGACTTATCCATAGATCACTATGCGCTTACAATTGCGATGAAAATATTAGCACTGCATAATATAATATATCATATTAAGATTTTTACATTAAGTACTAGTATTCAAAAAGAAAATACTTACTGTTTTAACCTTTTCCAAACAAATTCGAACATGGTTATATATTATGTTAGTAATTGTATAGATCGTCTAGTTAAAAAACGACATAACTTTTTGAACAAAATTGAAAAAGTATCGATTTTCGCAGATAATAAATATGCACTTTTCATCTTTTAATCTCCTCAAACTGATAATTTTTTTGGAAGCAAAATTAAGAAGAGGGTAATTTAATGAAAGTGCTGGATAAAGTATCAGATACTTGCTGCAATTGCTTTGTATTACCATTCTTTAGTAAGAAATTTAAGTATCAGCCAAACTAAATGATAAAAACAAAATGTTATTGGTAACAAGCAGCTCGTAATTTGCAATAAAATACGTGATAAAATATATATTGGCTATATCTATAAAAAAAATAATTATATTATGAAAAATTTCGAACATAATGAGAATAGGAAGACCAAATTATACCCAGAGAAAACCGAAACTGATTCTAGCCACTTCATATGAATTACCGGCTAATTTTGCACAAGCTTCTCTATTTTGAATGCTTAAATGACATACCATATTCGCAGCCATAATTGTATTGATTGGGTATCATGCGTCAACAGCTTATAATAAGAGGTCGTACAGATCGTTGGCGTTTTTTCGATTTTGAAGGATCGATGAATACTTCGTTTAAGCGAACTTAAAAATCGTCAGGTGGAATTTATACAAGATATATCGTTCGATGCGATAATATTTAGGATGTCAGAGTTATGTTCTTTAAACTTTATCGCTAATGACACTGCTACAAAATTTAACCCAGACCTGGACTGGTATATCTTATATATACCAAAGCGAATCAATGAACAATTTTTTCCTAGATTGGTAAAACCTGTTTTTATGTCAATTAGTGTGTGTTTGGTAGCCGTTTGTTTAAGGCGCGGATGATTTGTCTGGCACAAAGCAATCAGTGAAGGTCGTGAATTCATCAAAGACTTGTATCATTCCAAGTCGGTCATCCACCTATGTTAATGACGATAACATGGAAAAGGTTATGGAATTAGTGTTTGAAAATGGTCTTGTTAGCAACAGAGAGATGGCAGAGAATCTCAACCATCTCTTATGGATCGACTCAACAGATTTTGATTAAAGTTTGGGGTATGAAGAATGTCAGTGCAAGACTCATACCAAAAGACCTACATCTTTTGCAATGCCAACACTGAGTAGAAGTTGACAAAGATATGATTGAGAACATAAATGAGCACCGTACCGAAGAAGCCAAATTCACTGCAGGCACTGTAGACCATCCCATTGAATTAAGCGTTGGTTAAAGCATATGTGACCAAACGGAGAGGTGCTAGAATAAATCTGTCACAGCGTAGGAGAACGTCTAGAAGGACTATTTGCTAATGTTTTTTTATAATGATATAAAAATGTGAGAGATTTAAGGCGTTTAATTACGTTCGCAAAATCGCATTTTTGTGCTTTGTATGTCCTTTTAGGATGCAGTTGAATGTATTTTTGAAGATTATAAATAGTTTTTAATCTTTAAGTGTTTTGTAAATTTTAAGAGTTGAATACTAAAATTTTTTAAGCAGCAGTGTTTGAGATCAAGATGTATGAACCTACGCGCGCACTCTACACAAATCCACAGCTGTCAAGCGCACAGATGCACAAATCAAAACATACACACCTTCATATATAGATACAAACAAATGCAATATAACAAATCAAAGTTGTCAACGTTGTCAACGACTCTATTGCAAAGCGCCAGCGCCAGCGGCAACGCTATTATGTAGTATTTATTTATGAGTGACAATCGTTGAGGCCCGCAACGCACGTCGCGTCTCCCCAAAGCGTAAATTATTGTAATCGGAATTTATTACTCACGCGCAAATTAGAGCGAGCAGTGGTTTTTGGTGTTGCACAAATGTATATTTCTTTTTATAAAACTATCGATGCGCTGTCGCGGCCAGCTCAGCTTCACCCACTTTTAGTTCATAAGCGGATCGCGCGATTTTATTACTTAGTTACTACAACAAATTTCTTAGCTTTTAGTTTTTCTTTTAATTTTTATTGTAAAAAACGTATTCACCTAGTCGGTGCCTAGCTGCCAGCTTGTCCCACCCACTATTTGCTCTATCGTGAAGATGCTGCCAGCGGCGATCCATTGTCGATCAACGCGCCGCGCTAAGTCACCGCCAATGCGCGGCGTGCGCGGCCAAGATAATTTATGCACTTGCGGCATGTATTTGCTCCAGTTAAGAGCGCAAAAAAAAGAAATTACAAAAATGAGTACAAATTTGTTGCACTGCTTGATTTTGAGTGTGAGTAAATATAGTGCTCAAAGGCACAAAATTTGCGCGCGATCATTCATTGCCGCTCAGCAACAAAAGTACTCACATGCATGCGCGCTCAATTGATAAAAGCGGTGAGAGCCTAAATATGTAGAAAAACTCACTCAAATCTTACGATCTGTGATAACACAGCTGCGCGATCGCTTGTGTTATGTTCAACGTGCTGTATTTTTTTCAAAAAAAATATATAAAAAATTGAGCACTTTTTTGCCGGTTACTCGACTCACATGTGCACATGAGCATAATACGATTGAGCGTTTTGAACGCACACGGTGTTTGCTGAGTTTTGTTTGTCGTTTTCTTGATTGGATTTTTAAGCAACGAAACGGTACGTTTTCGGTTTTAGTTCAAATTGGCAGACAAAAGTCAAAACAGCGTATCGATTTGGAAGCGCTTAAAATTATAGTCAACCTACCATAGACTACTAGCAAAAAGTGAGAAAAATATTTTTGGTGTGATTTATTACAGTAAAAATATAAAAATAATACCAACAACAAAATTAGCGAAGTGTCGGAGAGAGTGTTTCTCATTGCATTGTAACGAAAGTGTTGTTTGTGAAATTTCGCAAATTTGCAATAAAGTGCAAGGTGTGCAAAAGCCTAGCAAAATAGCCGAAGCTGGCCCAGATTCGTCATTAACAGTAATATTAGAAAATTTCCGGCAGTGTAGACAGTGTGTGCATATGTCGATTTTTCTTAAATAACTGTTGCTTTTCTTGCAACATTGTGCGTAATATTGACACTTTTGGCAATCGCTTGCAACAGAAGTGCCCAAAAGCGTGCGAGAAGTCTAGAAGAAAGGTGAGTAAGTCGCTTAATTGTGTTTCTGTGCGTGTTAGCGTTTAATCCCGTTGAAATATTAATTTATTTATAATATTTTTTTGTTTTGTTTCGATGCGTTACTTTCAACGCCGCTTTAATGAGGCAATAATTTCGAATTTTTTTTGCGGAAAATCTGTCTTTTTTTTCTTTTTATTACTCAATTTAATGCGCGTCGTTTTTGTTTCGGCCACCAAATAATATTGTTCCGGCATCGTCTCAGCCACAGCATTCTAGTAGCAGCTCTATGCTATTTTTAGGCAACTTTTGCTTGTTTTTTGGTGGTAGTGTCCCTCTGGCCCAAACGGCGCGAGTTATGTGCGGTAAATTTTATTTCCTCAGATTTTTTCGCATATATTTATTTAATTTTTTTTTATTTAAAATTTTCATTTTCTCTTTGAAGCCAACCACCGCCGTTTGCATTGCGGCCTACATACATATCCACATTTTTTCTGAATTTTATTATAAATTTTAATATTTTATTTCACTCGCTGTTTGCATTATTTTTGTTTATGGCCGCGTTGTGTGCCGTGTTTGGCTAGTATTCACCGCAGGGAGTTCGTATAGCATAGTTATATGCCTGTGTGTATGTTTGTGTACGCCTATATTTTAAAAGACAATTTGTCTTCGCATTTTATACAAATTTTTCTTTTGGTTATAATATAATATATGCTTTTCCTCTTTTTCTGCGGCTTGCATTGTGTTTCTTTAGTTGTTTTTGGCCTGCGGTTGCGTCACTGATATTATTGTCCGCAATTTGTAAACAAACGACTTTTTGTTGTCTCCTTCGGTTTTCTACTTTCAAATTGTGGGCGGTTAAACATTATGCTTTCAGCGTGTCTGTAGATTTGTTGCAGTCTTTGATTAATTCCTTTTTGTTTTTGCTTATAGTTTTAGTGATTTGTGTAATTTTTTAGGGTTTAACACCAGTTGCTCTCTGCTCTTCGTTTTTTCGGGCACTTGTTAGAGCTTTTCTCATTGACTTTGGCGCTTGTTCTTGATAACCATAAATTATTTTATATACATATGTATATATTTTTATTTATTTCCCCAAATATACTTATTTGAATTATTGTACATTGATATGTTTATATATATGTTTATACTTATAAATACATATAAATACAAATGTACATGCCTGACATTTAAATTTGAATTTCACTCCTTGTAAATATTTACAACACATTTGCATTCACGGCAAACAAGTGTCGCGTTTGAGTACGATATCATATACTATATACATATATATGTAAATATGTACTCATACACTATGCACATGTAACTGCAATACATATATAACTATGTATGTTCATATAAGCAATCTACGATACGTGCAATGTGTGTGTGTGTATTCAACATGTTGCTCATACGCTCCGTACTGCCGTTGGGTTATTTGTTGCTATACGTTGTATTTACCCATAATAACCTTGAATATGTCAATATTTGCATAGCAAATAGCTATTTGTTAGACGAGTTTGTATCAATTAAAAAATACTAAGCTACAAGCACAGGCTTGCCAGGAAGGTTAGGGTGTGCAGGAGTGGTCTGGTATAAACTTAGGCACTTACATTACATTTTATTGTATTTATAATACATGCTAAATTAAGTAATAAAAATAGAATAAGAAATAAGAATAATAAAATATTGATGTCAATAAAAAAATTACCAAGAATTTATAAAATCTAAAATGTAAATTTAGGGTGGGTCAATAAAAACGAGAGTTTCTGTTTTGCTTGGTACCCTGAATAATTGGTTAACAGAAACCTCTAAGAAAGTCTCTCCAAGTATGAGCTCTAAATTGGAATAGGAATGTCCTCCGCTTTACAGTTATCAATCAATTTGTTGCTTATTATTAGATAGAATAAATCATATCTAGCTTCCAGCTACTTGAAAAAACATTTCGTTTCATTGGTTTTGTGGGAAATTGAATGCTTTAACATATAAAAAAGTTTCGAAAGATTTTTTTGTAAACCTAACCGTTTAAAAGGTATTAACGATAAAGTTTGACTATTTCAAAGCAATATCAGTGGAGAAAATCATTATAAATCAGAAAGCTTAAAACAGTCTTATTGGAAATTTATTGCTCTACAAAAATGGTCTATATCATTTTTTGATTGAGTTAAGCGCTTAGTATTCATCGTAAAACATCAATGCATACCATATATATTTTTTTTTAATTATAAGTGACTATTTTTGTGGAGTAGTGAATTTCAAACAAAACTATAATCTTTGCAAGTTAAAATGATTTTTCTCATTGAGTTATAAATAGATTAGAATATATCCTCCCGAGGTTAGATATCTTCCACTAGACGTGAATGGAGAACAGGTTTAGTAGGGGAGGAGAACATTATCTCAATCTATACCGACAAGTCCGAAATAGACTGTGGAGCACGGGCGCGAGTATACTCTGAGGATCTTGATATCTCTCGCCCCATCATTATACCAAACTCTGCTAGCATCTTCCAAGCGGAAGTACTAGACATAGAGAAGGCCTGTGGCGATCTACTGAATAACTACGGGAAGATACCGAAAGCTACCATTTACACAGATAACCAAGCGGCATTGCTTGTCTTTAATTTCAATATTCTGTGGTAGAAGATACCCTTTTCACTTTCTGCTTCTTTGTATTTCCGAAAGTAAAAACAATCTTTATATTTATTTTGGATTCTATCAACCTGAACCTGATTCTACCCAAATAAAAGCCTGTGTGATAAAGTTATCTGTGAGAGTTTTGGATGTTATAGTGCCTAATGGAACAACTTGTGAAGTTTTTGTATAAATGCTGTTATATCTAGATAATATTCAAAATCGAATGCCCTATAAAAGGTTTAACTCCAACAATTTATTCTGCAGGAAGGCAAGAGGAATCTCTTTGCTGCCTATGTTAAACATGTATATGAGAGTATAAAAAAATTATATTTACATTTTGATAAAGAATTAAAAAAATAGATATTCCAAATCAAACAATATATTTTTATTGTCTGTTTGACATGCATTTGGTCACAGCGAAGCCAACTCCGTGAAGATGACATTTTAATAACTGCGAATTAAAATTTAAAAAATTGTATTATGCACACTATGTCGTAGATAAACTTTACATCGGTTGTAATCCTCAACAATTTCAAAAATAACAAAAATTAAAATTAAAATTAAAAAAGCCTTAACTTTGCCTTAAATATATAAACTTGTTAAAATAAATAGCAATACAAAACCATTCACATTATTAAGAGATCTACAAGTCAATTAATAATCAGTTGTTAAGCCTAACGATCACTCATTGATAAAAAAAAATGTATACATATTTCTTTTTGTAATATTATGATATGAAAGCTCCGATAGCATAAAAAGTAAAAGTAATGCTTTTTCGATGAACGTGAACTTTGGAATTTTTCGGAGAACGTGAATTCGCGTAATAATTTCGGACAATTTCCAAGCGTTGTACTGAAGTGAAACGTGACCTGAACACAATGAAAAACTCATAGTACTTATTTCGTTGTGTGTGTGATTAGATTCAAGAATTGCATCAAAACCTGGTGGATGTATCCAAAGATCTGTAACCTTGCCGGAAATCTTGAAAACTTAATTACTATCTTATTTATCAAGCGCTGACTTTAGCATTTTAATTCTTGAATAACAGCACGTGTGTAGCAAAGCATTTTAGCGCAAGCTATTTTCATATCCGACAACTGGAATTTCATTACCATTCTTGACTCTCGTATATATTTTGGAATTTCAGATTCTTTATCTCTATTATCTTTGTTATAGCGAATTTTTTCACTATTTACTGTCTAAGATAGTGGACGATATAAATAGTGTCTTCTTTACTTTGTCTTATAATCTATGTAATTATATTTCTCTGTAGTGAGTAATTATAGTTTTTCTAATAGCTGCAGTTGAATAAACAAACAGCACATAATTTACATGTGGCATGTGTCTGTTTATGTAAATATTAATGCAAGTGAGCAATAGTTTTTCTTTCGTAAATATGTTAGAACAGTTGTAGAGCTTCCTTACGGGTTGATTTCGCAGAAAAAGTTAAAGTGCACACATGACAATTTACTAGTAATGATATCATTATTAAATGTATCAGATAGCAGTTGCTTTTGTTTGTATGTACGTAACTTTGTATGTATGTATGTGTATATGAAATTTCGAGGTAATAATATTTTTCAGTTGAGTAGAGTTGTATATTGGGAGGGTATGTAAGGAGACAGCTGCTCAAGAAAAATTTAGTTGAGCTTGTTAAACTAGGTTTATATACATCTACATATGTACATACTTACACGAAATTATACCGCGGAAACTTTTTAAATATATTTTTTATTTAACGCTGACATATTGAGCTGTAGACCAACCTCTCTTTAACAAGACTGTTTCCAGAGTGTAGAAAACAATATTTAACTCATAACTTCGGAGACTCAAAGTCTGTTATCAATCTTTATGAAATTAAAAATTAAAACTTTTGATCACTGTGCATCAGTGCATCAGCTACAGTTCTGAAGGGGAACTTCTTTTGCTTTCCCGACAGAATCGAGTTAGAAAACTTAATGAACACATCACAAACTGTGGTCATATGAGAATATTTTTGAACCTTTAAGACTATTTCATTTGCAATACGTTTTTTGTTCTTCTTGGAAACATTTTTGGAAGTTTCAAGTAGCGACGTAGGTCAACAATTCTTTATATTGCAGTTGCAAGCAAGCAGCTTGCAAAAATAAATTGAGGCGAATAATGAGCTTGTAAACAATATACGAGTATGTGTAGGAGAGTAAGTGCTTGCTCTTTTGTCAACACAGTTAAAAGTTAAAGTATGATATTCGAAGAATTTTAAATAAAATTGTCAAGAAAAAATATTAAAAATACGGTAATGGCAGCAGTAGGATCGCGGTACCCCTCGTAACTTAGTACTGGAACAACCGAAATTCAAAAAATTATTTCCGTGCGACTTTTTCCTGTTTCCAAAATTCAAGAGAACTTTAAAG